TGTTATCCCTTAAAATCAATTTGTTTGCTTCAGTGTTTGTTTGTTTCATAATGGTCTGGTATGCTTAAAACTCATAACGGTTTTCCCTAATGTAACTTCATTTCGTCCACAAGGTTTTGTTCTTTTTTGGGGGATGGCTTTGTGCTGGTTTGTTGTGGGATGAACTCTCAACCAGCACATTCCAGATGCTTTTTTTCCCTTAATACTTTCCTCCTGGTTCCTGCTTCCAAAAAAACAAAACCCAGAAGCATTTTTGAAAAATAGTCTTTCAGTAATTGCCATTAGTTTACAAGTGTGAGTGAAAACCAGGAACGTGAATGAAAATGATAGGTCATATTGACATGTCCCTTTTAAAGTACACAACTCCCTCTTTTGTAGTCTGAAAGCCTCATCTGAGACAGCTGCTGTGCTTCTGACCTTCCAACCCCATCGGGAATTCCCTCTTTATAACCTGCCCCTTGCTAGAACATGTCAAAATACTTGGAAGGAATGAGGAAGATGCCAGTGAAGTTAAAGAGTAAATAATCTATCCAAACATATAATTGGTGCTATATAGCTGTGATTTAGTTAGGCTGTAAGGTGCAAACCTACGCTACCTTCTGCCAGACGTATAAATTCTAGAGTAAAAAGGCAACTAAGAGTGCATGTTGGTATGGAATATTGTATAATTTTGAGGATTTTTTTAGTTGCAATGCAAAAAGAAAACAGATCAATTAAATCATTTATATTAGATTTCCATTCCAGAGGTCTCTTGTTTCTTCTACTATGCATTGTTATGTGGTGGAACAACAGGGAAGGTGTTTGTGTGATGTAAACAAGAATTTAAATTAGGGGTGACAACTCATCTGGCCCTGTGGGCCAAATGAGTAGTGCAGGGCTGTGTCATGGGTTGGATTGGTATGGGTTGGACCCTCCCTTGCCCCCTAGCATGCCAGATCCACTTCATGCAGAACCTGTTCCAACTGGTCCGAGACCCATTCTGCATGCGGCACAGGTTCTGGAGTGACTGGGGAAGGCGCTGTGAGGTGCATGGCACCTACCCTGGCTGGACTGTTTCACATGCATCATGTATCCCAGCGCAGCTTGAATGAGTTTTGCATGCATCCCTTGCCCTGCCCATGGGGCCAGGCTGGCATATACCATGTGTGGCACCCAGGGACAGCACCAAGGGCTGGTGATGGGGCTCTACAGGCTGGATCTGGCCTGCGGGCCAGATCTTTGACATCCCTGATCTAAATATTTCGGTTTTCTGAATTGTACTTCAAAGTAAGTTAAAATTTTCTCTTTAATATTTT